AAATACGGCATTTAGCAGAGATATTTTTCATGGGAAAGACCATTAGGTCGTTAGTTTCCTACAAATATTCAAGGGTAAGTTGGGAAATCAATTAATGGAGAAGTAATAATAGAGTCCTTTACAGTGGATGGAACAATACAAAAACAATAAAAAATTTTGAAAGCGTAAAACAGTAGAGATAATGGGCATTGAATAATGTTTTGTGTGGGAATTCACAAATGAATAGTACTTGTCAGTTTCTCTCTTTTAAGAGAGTAGAGATAGAGATATTTTGTGGTCATGATGGAGGATGAAACATTTCTTGTTTTTAGATTTTTGTTGCTAAAATTATGAAGAAAAAAAAATGGGTGCTCAATTAATTTATCCTGAAAAGTACATTCTTATTTTTCTGTTGAAAACTTTGACTGACTTGCGCCATTGCTCTTTTGGAAAGAGCTCGTTACGTAGATCTCCCGGATATTTTCAAGTTTGGATTCATAATGGCCGTGATTGATGCGGTAATCTGGGGAGTTGTTGGGACATTTTGGTGGAAGTTCTTGGGCCTCTATTGATTTCTAATTTCTTGCAAGTAGAAATTTTGGTTTTTTCGTCTATGGTGCTTGAAAATTGAGTCTATCTTTGAGTCCGTTTGTCCAGCTTTTTCCTTATTGACTTTTGTTATGCAGGCTTAGATGTGCCTAAAGAATAATGTTTAGTAATAGATTTAGAAAACCAAAATCAATTGTAGTATATTAGAACAAAAGTAAAAACAACGATTGATTTTCATGATTATCCAAGTAAAAATTAAATATTAATGTGTTATGATGCTTTAGTTTTACTTGGACGAAGGCAGCAATCTTGTCCAAGTGACCACGGCTGTCCTGCCATCTATACTATACATTTGTTATATTTTTATTAGATTTTTTATTTCAATTTATTTCAATGTTCTGAAAAATATAAAGCCTAACTAGGTGGCAATAACTCATTTTAAACTTTTATGTGTCCAAGTGAATTTAGATGTAAAAGACATAAAGAGTGATTGTATCGAGCTTTTATAGCAATGTTTTCATTCTCTCATTTTCTTTGATAAATCGAACAGAGATAAATGATATATAAATTGATAGTAGTGAAATCCAACGGTCAGAAATAGATTGCCTACAGTGGATGGAGAGGCAACCTCAGCCATTCATTCTCTGTTGTCCGTTTGGTGGCTTGGGCCATTGCTATACACTTTTTTCTTCTTCTTCTTCTTCCATTTTTTGTTTTCATATGTTGGACTTTTACGAAGGTAAATTCCAGTTGGGATCCCCAATTTTTGAGAAGTGTGAAATTGTCTCCAACTTATTAAATTTGGCATGTGCCTCTAACTTTTCAAAATTATATTTATGAGCCTGGTCATCATCTAACCAATACTATAAGTTCAATCATTAAAAAGTTTTATTTTTTATTTTATTATTATTATTATTTTCAAATGATCATTATACTCTTATTTTGAATTACAATTTAAAGTAGAAAAAAAAAAAAGGAAAAGGATAAAAATAAAATAAAATTCTACCACTATCAACTCCAAGCAAGAAACATGTCCAAAATCTACATGTCTCTACTTGTCAAAAACATAATGTCACGTAGTTTTCTCAGTAGTAAGAAAAAGGATTGAATTAATTAATTAACTTCGTTACATTTACATCAAGGTTAACACAAAGATTTAAAATACAGTAATTGCACCCCAATTCCATGGAAAATGGAAATTAAATTCCATCTTTCCAATTTTTTGTTGTTTGATTGGAAAAATTTTCCCTATAATTCGAATTCCACCTTTTATGCCATCTAAACTAATTTACATGTTTTCCTTGAATTCCAACTCTCATCAAAATGGTGAGAATTAGAATTCTCGGTTACTGTAGTTTTTTTTTTATTTTTTATTTGGCAATGGAAACAAATTCTAAGAATCATTGTAAAAAAAAATATTTCCCTTTAAATGGCAATTTTCATGTAAAATAAAGTTAAATGAACACCAAAAGGTAAATGATTTTCTTGAAATTTTTGTTTTTTTTATATGTTGGTAATGGAAATAAATTTCATCCCCAATATCAGTGAAATCTATCCCTTTAATTGATAATTTTCATGTAAAATAAAGCTAAATAGAAATCAAAAAACACTTTTATTTCAACATTTTACACATGAAAAATTATCCCAATTAAACACAATAATTTACAATTCTCAAGAAAATAATTTCTAGGCAATTCAACTCCCTGAAATTCATTTTCAATTCATTTTGATTTCATATTTGCAATCAAACGGACCCCAAGCTATTTTATCAATTCTTTCGTTTCAAATCATCTTTTGAAACTGCTTTTTATTACGATCACACACTCTTCGTCTTTTCATTTCCTCATCCTCCCAATAAATTCTGTCCGAGTAGAATCCCAAACCCAAATCTTCTGAACACAAACTTTTTATATGATTTTTCCACCTTTGATAGCCCATTAGCCTTCATCTAAAAAAAAAAGAAAAAAAAAGGGCAACTTACAAAAATACTTTTAAAATTAGGAGTATTTTGAAAAATCATATTAAAAGTTTATTGAAAGTAAAAAATACTGTGACATATTAAAAAGTGATACAATATTACTCTTTTTTCTTTTTATAAAAATTATCACTTTTTAATAAATAAAAGTGATACACTGTCACGTATCATATTTTTATTTAAAAATAACATACAATATCACTTTTATTAAAAAATGATGTTTGTCAGTAAAAAAAGTGATAGAAATTAATAAGATGATTGAATAAAAGTGATAAATATTAAAAAAGTGACAAAAATTCAAAAAAGTGATAAATACTAAAAAAGTGACAAAAGTTAAAAAAAAAAAAAGTGACAAAAATTTTGAAAACGTGACAAACACTCAAAAAAAAAAAAGGACTAATTTTTAAAAAAGTGAGAAAAATTCAAAAAAAAAAATGACAGAAAATAAAAAAGTAATAAACACTCAAAATAGTGATAGAATAAGTATTTTTTTTCTTTTAATTTATGTTTTGCCATTACCTCTTTTAACTTATTTATGGGCTATATTTCTTCACTCGTTGGGTGACATTTTTGTTATTGTTTCGAAGTGTTTACAACAAACTTTGAAATACATTTTTCGAATTTGAAAATCGATAAACGATGAGTTCATAATAACAAGTCAAAAAAAGCCACAAGAAATGGATTTAAAAAGTGATAGAAATCAAGAAGGTTACTGAAAAACGTGACAAATACTAAAAAAAGTGACAAAATTCAAATAAGTGATAGAATTTTTTTTTTTTTTTTTTAAAGTGATGAATTCAAAAAAGACACAAATTTAAAAAGTTTCACATATTGAAAAAGTTACAAAAAATAAAAAATAAAAAATAGTGACAAATTCAAAAAAATGACAACCACCACTCTGAAAGTTTATTCTCATGTTATAATGTTATAATAGCTAATCAACTCATTTGATGGCTCTACTTTAGAGTTATGAAGCATTATCGTTCCCTAGTATTAGTACCCATGATCATAACACTAGTTACACCACCATGGTAAAACTTTAAAAATTAGCACAGATATCAACAGATTCAGAATTCCCCAATATCCATTAAACATGTGATAATGATTAAAAACATTTATACACCAATCAAAAAGTGGTTTACACTCAAAAAGTGACATAAACATATTACTCACATGACACATTACAAGCTCACATGTAAAATTATTTGTCATTAGTTTACAGAAAACACAAGGTCACACTAATCAACACTATCAAGTAAAAACCTCTTTCCTAGGATTTTCTTCATCATCTCCATAGATGTAAATGCTCTTTTTGCAAGTAATTCAATTGCCAACTTTCCACTTCTTTTTTACTTTTGCTAGCTTGAATCCCCATAATTTTTTTAATTTTTTTTTTGGATCTTTCCCATGATTAACTTCGAGTTCTTCAACGATCTCAATGGGTTCTTCCATCAATTCATAGTCCAAATCTCTAAAACTGCCATCAATATCTTCTTAATCCTCAAGTTCAACACCATAATCCATGTTTTCAACAGCCCCAGGTCATGATTAAGTGTTTTTTAGGATCGCAAACAAAGCTCTAGTGCGAATAGTTGGAAAACTCAACTCTTTGCACATTCTGCTTTGAACCTTTATCAAGCTTTTCTTTTTGCTTCAAATGCTTCACCATCAAAGAAAATAGCATTGGAATTTTCGCATTTTGAAGATTTAAAACATTCTCATTGGTAACAAACTAGCAAGATACCTTTTCTTCAGAAGCAAAACAGTTTCTACCGAGAACACATTATAACAATTATCAATTTTATTTTTTTAATTATAAATAAAAAGAATATATATATATATATAAGCAACGTCGTACCAAAAGTAACAGTTATCAATTAATAAAAGGGGTGAAAAAGGGTCTGTAGAACTTGGTTTACCGACGATGATGAATCGACAGTTGTACTGCATCCATTTGTGAGCACGATCACAGGGCTTCTTCTTCTTGTCCTGCTTGACCATCTTCGGTGTTTGCCCGATCACTTTACCAACACGTGCCACTGTCGTTAATCAGTATACTACTTACAATTAAACGGAGTGCAGTTCTTGGCTTCAGTAAATTACCCATGATTGATTCTTCTGAAAGAGAGCGAGCTGGAGCGAAAATGAATCTAGGTCTAGGGTCCTGTAATTTTATATTGTAGACTGGGCTTGGCGTTAGAACCAGACTTAGAATCGCTCGCTCCATCTTGGACCTTAGACTGAAGAATTGTTCCATTTAGATTGGAGAGGAGTTTTCACCTGCTTTTGATGAGTTTGATCGTAATTAATACGAAAAGTTAATACATAATTAGGTTTAGGTGTATTATTCTAATTAGTTTCCTTTTTAAAGTATTGAGCCTAATTATCCCAAGAAAAAAGGAAAAAGAAACATGGCTTCCATCAACTATTCCTGCCCTTTGACGCCCTTTTCTCGCTCCATCTCTCTTCTTTATGCAGTCTTTCTTCTTATTTTATTGATTTATTTTCTGTTTTTGATGGTACGTGTATTGTCTTAACATTTTTGTTTAATTGGATGAGACTTTCAATAAATGATTCTTTCTTCTTCTTGTCTTTTTTAAGTAATTGGCATTTGTAAATTGATTGTCTTGATGGGATATCTTTGATTTTTTATGTGAATTGATGATGGGGTCTATCTATCTGTGGTAAAATGAAATTTGTTTCTGGAAAAACTCAAAAGCTTATATACTTGGTAATGAAAACACACTTTAATGCTTTTCTGCTATGATTTGAACTGTGTTAACCAGGGATTGAATGATTAAAGGAAACTCCTTAATTTTTTAAATGACTTCATTTTTGTTATTATATTGGAAGAGAGTTTATTATGTCATGATTTTTAAGAATTTATAAAAATTCTAATATCTACTCAATCACGAAAACTCATTGCAGCAGTTAGTTTTTGTGTTCTTAGCTTATATAAGAAAGTTGGGCGCCAGTACTATACGAACAACGTTTTTCAGAGAGGTTCGATTCTGAGTCCATGCTGATGTCTGTGAATTGTAACTGACTTTATGCATATGCAGGGCTTCTAAAAATGTTAGACTATTCAACCGATTGCATTATGGAAATCTGTATTCTGTTAATGGTTGGCCGTTAGAGTCCTTTGATCAGCCAGTCACGTGGGCACACTTCAGAATCAAGGCTAATGGAAGAATTAAATCTGTGTTGTCATCAGGGAAAGGTAGCCTTCTCTTCCATTCAAGAAGCACTAATGTTGCAAGTAATGATCTCATCAGCAATGTATTTGGTGGAGTCAGTGTACGATCCTATTCGGTAACTTCTAGAGCCCTTTCTGCTGATATGACTCCAACTACTAACGGCTTCCCCACAGAAAATGAAGATTATGATTTGTACCAATCGACAGAAGGTTTCTCTTCTATTACAGAGGTCGTTGAAGATATACGAAACGGATAATTGATTTGTTCAATTTAGTGAATGCTAAAGTAATATTTAAGGTATCTGTTTTTTTTTTTTTTAATGATTTGGATATTGCAGATGGTTGTGCTGGTAGATGATGAGAATAGAGAAAATGAAGGAGATATAATAATGGCTGCGTCAAAGGTTACTACAGAGGCTATGGCTTTCATTGTGAAACACTGGACTGGAATTGTTTGTGCAAGTATGAAAGAGGAAGACATGCAGAGATTGCATCTTCGATTGATGGTAACTCAAAAGGAGAATGAGGAAAAACTTTCAACTGCATTCACCATTTCGATGGTACATTGTCATTTCTAGTTAGATGAACAATCAAACCTAAATTTTTGTCTTCTTTTATCTTTATTTCTGGTTGTCTTTCTAGTTTTGTTCTGAATTAGTTTATCACCATTAAATATCATATAGGGAGAAAAAATATTAGACTAAAACTACTGTGGGGAGAAGAATGTTAATGGGATCTTCTTTTTGACATAGAGATACCTTGAAAGCCTATTATTTCTGGACTTTTCTCTAAATCTGCTGTAGCAAGTGAATGTAAATCTCTTAAGGTTAGATTGAACCCACTATAAATCACTATGTTTCTCTGTGTGCAGTTTTGTTTCATTTCATTCTTTATTGCTCTAGGCATTGGAATCAACATCTATCTCAAAAATGTATAAGCTATGTGATCGACATATAAGAATTGCAGAAGTAATGATTTTTTTTTATATTCAACAACTCAAAATTGCTCTTGCACACACTAATACATAAATGACCACAAATATAATCATTTTAAAACTTTGCTGAGATATATTAATAATCTGTCAAAGCAAAATCTATTATGCAACATATATGCAGATCATGTGTCATTTATGTAAGCATAACATTGTTTTAGGACGCTAACACATGGTACAACTATGGGAGTCTCAGAACATGATAGAGCGACAACAATATTGGCTCTTGTACGGGTCACATTTTTCCTTCGAAGTATAGAGAGGGTTGTGCTTTTTTAAAAGAGCTGGACATACAAAAGCTACGTTAGATCTTTCCATGCTAGCTGGATTAGAGCACATTGGGGTTCTATGTGAAATTGTCGATGATGACGGTTCAATGGCTAGATTACCTAAGCTTCAACAATGTGTACAGCAAGAAAACTTAAAAATCATATCTATTGCTGACTTAAATAGGTAGGTGGAAAGAGCTGGACATACAAAAGCTACGATAGATCTTTCCATGCTAGCTGGATTAGAGCACATTGGGGTTCTATGTGAAATTGTTGATGATGACGGTTCAATGGCTAGATTACCTAAGCTTCAACAATTTGTACAGCAAGAAAACTTAAAAATCATATCTATTGCTGACTTAATCAGGTAGGTTAGAAGGTTGCTTCTCCAAATCTCTGTTAACCAACATTTTTTTTCGCTATTATTATGGATCTTTATGTTGTTCTTTGTCAATTGGCTTGACTTTTGAATTTTAATTGTTAAATTTCCTTCATTATGCTAGTTTATGGTATTAATTTGCATATCTGATTCACTCTCTCATTTTTATTTTTATTTTGCTTGCATACTTACCTCATATAGGCTATATGCACTCTTAGTTATGTTTTAGTTTTAATTGATCATGTGATTTTACTTTGGAAAATCATCAGCACAAGTGACGGTGAGAAATTCTATGTGGCATAATTAGTCTCTCTCTCTTTTTTTTTTGACTGATATTACTTGGCTATATTTTATTTATTGTGATAGACTTGCCCATTGATGTACCTCTTCTCTTATTTCCATGCATAACTTCAGTTTTTTCTCAGAATTGTCTTCTATTTAGTAGCTTAAAAGAGAAGGTCTAAAAATGTATATGATTTGCAGATACAGGAGGAAATGAGATGGTTAGTGGAACGCGCATCTGCTTCTCAGATGCCCACTATGTGGGGGCTATTTACTTCATACTGTTACAAGTCCATTTTAGATGGAATTGATCATATTGCGATTGTTAAATTGAGCTAAAAATATTTGCTAGTATTTCAAGTTACTTTATCTATTGGATTTGAGAAAGCTGCTGTCAACTGTTTCTCATTCTGTTCTTCTGGTTATTGATCTCTATTTCCTGTTTGTCTTGGGACAGTGGAAGTCACACGAAATATGGTCTCAATTTGCTAGAGTGCCACTAGACGAGTCAATATTCTCCTCCCCCTCCACCTTCCCCCATTCCTTTCTAAATTTAATTGTGTGTAAGAAAACTCCAGCTTTTTGGTTTGGACTCATGGATACATACAGCAAGAATGCCCCCCCACCCCACCCCACCCTCTCCAAACTTTGTCAAGAGACCCTTGTAGTAAATGCCTCGTTTGGGATAACTCAAGAATCCAACGTAACTCCAGTTATGGATTTGAAGCTATGGCACAATGAGGATTAGATTGTATTAGTTGGCCCAAGTTTGGGATAACTCAAGAAGCCATCATGCTCCAATTATGTTCATTTATGTCCTCTGCCACGATCACCCTTCTTATTAAGGTCATTTATTGGACATTGTATTAGTTGCCTGAGTTCCTACGTTATAGTTAGCTACCGAGTGTGGCCATTTTCTGTATGAGAAAATGGGGAGGTGCAAGATCTCTTATCCTAATACTTTTCTTCAGGATCGTAGCTAAAAATCTGCAGTGGCAAGTTGACATTTAGCTCTCACATTGAGGGTGAACTAATATGAAATATTTCTTTTTATGCATTTCTGTCATTGCCATTGGTGCTTTGGGGACTAGGACGAGGATTTAATCCATAATACAAACCACACAATACCTTTTATCACAATATACAAAAGTCAACTAATGTCTTTCAGCTTTGTGCAAAATTTATATTGATCAAATCATGGTATAAACAGGGTGATATTGGAGATGGACTTGATATTCTTGTTAGAGTACACTCAGAATGTCTCACAGGAGACATATTTGGATCGGCCAAATGTGACTGTGGGAACCAGCTAGTGCTTGAAATGCAGCAGATTGAGGATGCTGGCTGAGGTGTCTTAATTTACCTCCGCGGTCACGAGGGAAGGGAAATTGGATTGAGTCACAAGCTTCATGCATACAAATTGCAAGATGCTGGACATGACATGGTTGAAGCAAGTGAGAAGTTGGGGTTGCCTGTTGATTCAAGAGAATATGGGATTGTGCACAGTTACTACCGAGTCAAGCTTGTATTACATAGCATATAATTGCCATAAACTTCGTTTTTCTATTTCACATGTTTGCATTTTGACATGCACGTACCAGCTTATTTTAATGCTTTGATAGTAATGAGAATCGCTATCCCCTCTCCTAACAAACACTAGTGCTCATGCACGCCCGCACTCATACAAGAGAGGGATTGTAGAAATTTTGTTTTATTAAATTGGGCTTGTCATTTGAGAACAAATTTGACCTAAGAACTTTGGAATAGTTGATTTGGGTCCTTCGTGTTGTGTTGGCACTGTGTTTATCTGCAGTCATTTTTACATTTACTTCACCGTGTATATATATCGATTTACAAGTAGAATATCTAATTTATACTTGTAAAATCATTGTGCAGATACAAAGAGATCTCGGGGTTAGTACTATGAAGCCAATGAAAAACAATCCTGCGAAGTACAGTTGCCTCAAAGGTTATGGTTTGGCTGTTGTAGGAACGGTACCCCTTGTGACCCCCATCGCGAAGGACAACAAGATACATGCACATTTACGGCTTAGAAGTCAACAACCTCCTGGACATTGTGAAGAGCACGAATGGTAAACCGAGTGCGTAGAGTTCAGCTGCGGCCGAATCTTAATCCATCCTTCTGATTTTTGACTCAGGTTTTGTAGTAATGTATTTGGATGGACAGAGAAATAGAGGTGAGACTATGGTTGCATATTGTGAATGATCTATGAGATAAAGTCAGAATATGCATACATTTTTTTTTTTTTTTTGCTGGTTCAACATTAATAATATCTGATTTTTCACGAGTAACGAAGAGTTCGGCTCATTATTTTTTGAATACTCCAATTATCAAATGATTGAATAACGTGGAGCAATTTACTTGCATACTTAGTTGATATTCATAAAGAGTATTTATTGAATTAATACATTTGGTATAACAATAAGACGGGTATTCTTTGCTCGTTATCATATAATAACTTACATTCTCACCCTTTTTCCTTGATAGGCATGTTTGTCACATAGATATACAGACAGTGGACATTTCAAAACTACAGATGTTTCTCTTTCTTTCTTCCAATTCCCTTGCCAACCATGCCAATAGTTCCCTTATTGAAAATTGGTGCATTTTCGCTTGGTAACTCGTACTTTCATCACGCAGTTGTTAAACTGCTTCCATACTTCGAAAATCTAGTTTAAATAATCGCTCAAGCTTTCAAATGAGCATGTTCAAAGAAGACAAATCTTGAGTTTGAATTGTACGTTTCAGGGTTTTTATAAAGAAAAAATCATTCAACTTGTAGAAATTATAAATAAATTTATGTTTTTTGATTTGTCAATATAACCTATCTCTCCAAACAAATTATAGTTGAATCTCTTGAAAATAGCACTAAGGGTCCAGGGCAGAAGCTTTTCATTTACCAAATTGGCCAACACACAGGGACTAGTTTGTATTAAAAAATTTGTCAACTGCTTTCTATTGGCTAACATTGAATTCAACTGGCTTTTTCTTGCTATAACATCAGAAGCAGAGAAGATTCATCATCTTGAAATGATTATGTTACATTTTGTAAATTATTGTTCTTCCTTACATGGTATTTCATGTTCGGTTCCGACACTATTGAGCACAAACCTAGTAAAAAAAGAAAAACTCAAATAAACTATCCGATATTAATTATCTAGCTAATTCAATGTACAAAAAATGTCCTTTATATACCTCCTGCCACCTTACTTTTCCTTGGTTTGTGCAAAAGCCATATAAATCTCTCTTCCTTCGAGTTCGCACGAAAAGGGCGGCAATGGCTTCGAACCTGCCTCTATAACCAGTAGCAACTTCTTTGGAGCCAGCCAACATCGATTCGTGCATTAAGTTACTGGAAGAATCTACTGATCTTAAGTTTTTTTCCTTCTGACTTTTCTTTCGTGGATTAACCTATGATTCTATAATCATCATTGATTTCTCCCTCTCCATATTCACCTTTTGGCAAAGCGTGTGAACAATGAGGACTTTTTTAGTATTATACTTCTCTCTAGACACTTGTAGACGATGTTTGTATTGAATCATTTCATATTAATTTTTACATCATATTTATAACTATTACTTATTTATTATCTTCCCCTTTTGTGGGACCCATAACCATTCCTCTTTATAAATTAATTTGTAAATTTGTCAAACGTAATCTAATTTACACTTCAACACATCCTTTATGGGTACAACGAGACTTGAAAATTAGGAAATGGTACGTATCTATTTATTTATTTGAATTTAGCACTCAAAAAGGTTAATATTTCCTCCTCCTCCTCCTTCTTCGCTTCTTCTTCTTCTACTTCTTTTTGGTTGTTTTTCATGTTTCATTAATTGTTGCAGTTAGTAAATCACACGATACTAGTAACCATGATGAAGGCAATAATTGATGTGGCTTGAGCTTTCTATTTACCTGAGGAAGAAAAGCAAAACGTAGCTTGAACCCATCATTTATGGCATTGGTATTTCAAGCCAGAAGACATTTCTCCGGAGGGATTTAGCCATTGTTTGAGTCCCATTCTTTCGAAAAAAAAATGCATTTTCAACAGTGTTTTGACATCATTTCAACTACACATTTTTCAATAAAATAATATTACACGCAAATTCAAAACTTTTCCTCATTTTTTAACCGTATATTTTCCATCAATACACTATTCAAAAATTCATTTTTTCTCCAAAATGACTCAAACAAGGGCTTAGTAAAATCCTATCTACATCCTGAATTTTACTAGTGTCCATGTTAAACCACAAATGTTAAGGTATAAAAACAATATCACTTGTAAAAAATAGTTGTTTATTAGTTTTCACCCGTCTCATACATATCGATAGCGTTCTTGAAAAGTATATTACACTCTTCTGGGTAAAAAAAAAAAAAAAAAAAAAAAAAAAAAAAAAAAAAAAAAAAAAAAAAAAAAAAAAAAAAAAAAAAGAATGATCCATTCACGAATTACGTTGCATATTGCAATATTTAATCCAAGAATTAAAGTGTCATGGCGTATTATGTGACATGGATTGGACGGTATAAAAGAGAAATGAACTAAAATATTTTTTATTTTACTATTCAGTTCTATCTAGTGATATACATAGTAATGTTTATTATGGCTATGTTTGAGCCACATTTTTCAAAAAAAAATATATTCTTAAATACTGATTTGACATCATTTCAACCACATAATATTCAATAAAATAATATTACACGCAAATCCAAAACTTTTCTTTATTTTTTAGCCACACATTTTTCATCAATACACTATTCAAAAATGCATTCTAAGAAAAATAATATAGCTCAAACAAGGGTTGTATCATTTCGGGACATTTTATTTGAGTATTCTAAAAGAACATGGTCAGTGGCAAGAATGTTAGAAATCGAACAAGGATTATATGTTCTCTAATACTACTTGTTGGGTACGAGATAACAGATATGATATGATATGAAGTATTGATCGCAAACAACAAGAATACAAGAAACAAAAATTTGTGTTGAGTTTTTTATTCAACTATAATGGAGAGAAAAATTATAACAATATTATGTTCTTACACAATTCTAACTTGCAGTAATAATGGGGTAAACTTGTTCTAACTATGAATAGAAGCGAACCATATATAAGGATAACATGTCAAATCCTAATAATAGCCATAAGATGGAAAATAGGTCAAAAAATGCGTAGAATAAACAAAACAATGAAATCTCAAAATGAAGTAGCGTTCAAGCACCAAGCTCATCGCTTGAGCGCTAGGCGAGTTGTAGCTCTCTATTGAAAATTTCGTCTGGCCGTTCAAGTGTCCAGCTTACGCTGTCAATCTCTTTTTCCTTCATGAACTATATTTAGATGTTTTCAAGGTCTAACACAACAAATCACACAACCCTAGATGAATTTGGGTCACAAAGCCCAACAAAGAACATTTCCAAGAATCAAAGGCGAATCTAGAAGGGGGCAGACCTGGGGTATAGCCCATCTATGCCCCAACCCACATGGTAAGACAATAGGATTTTTATAGTTAAATTGGGAGCTCAATTCCAATTATCCAAATTTGATATTAATGAAATGTAAACAATTTATTACCAAATTAGATTTTTATTTTATGCACGTTTTAATTGTAATTATATATTTATAATAAATAAAATTGTATTGATTAGAGCTAAAATAAATTACTTATTTTATTAGTAGAAGACACTAGATATTTGGCTAAGCTTAAAGTAATTAAATTTTTTAGTTCTAAAACTATTTTCATATATAACTTATTTATCCTTATATAAGAAAGAAACTTATTTATTTGGACCATAAAATAGATGTCAATATTAAAATAAGTAACTTAAATTATATTTAATTTTATAATACAAAGAATATTTAAAAGAATTTATTCATATATAAATAATAAGATTATATGTATTTTATAGAAGTTGATCAAACATGGACGTGAAAGGAACAAATGTTTTTATCCTCGAAATTCCTTGTCATATTTCCCCCCTGCTTTGGGTGGATTCTTTACTCACCGTGGAATGTGTTGGTATAAAATATTGATGTCCACATTAAATAGTCTTTTGAAAACGGTGGCGTACAATAATGTATTTTCAGTTAAAACTTTCAGTTGTTTGGAACAGCTCGTTGTAAAATTCTTAAGAATGGTACTCATTAAGTATTTTTTATTAAAAAAAAAATTGATTGGTGGATATATAACATTTGCTTATATTTGACATGCTTCTATCAGTTTATATTTTCTAAGGTGAGCGTAGTTTTCTAAACTCGATCTCTTGGAACGTAAGTTTATTTAGAATTTTGAAATTTTAGCTCACCCCATAATCATTTTCTGGTTCTGAAGAATGAAAGAAACTTAAGACAATAAGTATTCAACTATTTACGGCAAATTATTATGATATTATCCACTGCCTGATCAAACAATTGGCATTAGTCAAACACAGATTTATGGCCTTTCGACATTTCTGATACATAATGGAGTGGCTGGATTGAAGATAGAA